TAAAATACCTCTTGGGAAAATACCTTTAAACACGGAAAAAAATATTAACTGCCATAGTTAAATTTTATATGTTTCTGTATTATACCTGAAATTTAATTATCATGCCTAAGTTTTAGCTCTATGGTAACCTAATATTTTTTTGCTGTAATTAATGAGGAATTTCGTATTAAATTATAGCCTATATAGAATTAAGCGTATAATTGAATTTCAATGTAGTGTAATATAGGGATATCTAAAAGTTATAGTAATTAATTTTTTTTAAGGAATGGAAAAATAAATAAAAAAAGAGAAAGATAATGATATGAATTTTGGAAATTTAATTATGAATAGCTAGATGTTATTAGATTATATTATGTTTTTGTGATATCAATATATCTATTACGTACTTTTGTGTTTATAAATGAATATTTTTAATGCAAGATGTTTGTATATCTAAAATATGCTTGTACCTACAAATGTTTTAGCTTCTTCATCGCGCGATTATGATCTAATTTAATTTTTAGAAGATACTTGAAAAACAGAGAATATTAGAGATAATTTGCGATACGTTATCGGAGGGGAATTAGAAGAAGACTTGACTTTTTGCTTGCGTAATGATAAGAAGTTAAAAAATGAGCTAGATATATTTAAAAAGAAGCCTGCTTCTATGAGCGTTCGAAGTAATATTCACGGTGCATATAAAAGACCGGCTGTTCTCGTTTCGATGCACAATACGCTTCTTGTTCTCCATTCTCGCTTTTTCTCAACAGAAAGCTTTTCGCAACGGTATATATACACACTATACGTAAACACAATTGCTGAAAAAATATGACTTAATTTGACACTTGTCGCTTTATTTGGTGCATTTTTATTTTCCAATGCAAAATAGTTGAAGATCCTTTGAAACAAGAAGAGAGAATATTTTTAAAGTTAATATATTAGTAAAAAATTATGAAGTTATTATTTAAAAAATATTACACTGCAAATATATTAACAATATATTTGTAAATTTATCACATTACGTAAAGGATTTTAATTATTTTATTTTATTTTATTCTAATTTTTACCTAAACGCTAAATGTATGTCTATGCATTTCATATTTCGAAGATAAATTTTTTGTTTGTTTAAATAGAAATAAATTTAGATATTTTAATTACTTTATTTTATTTTTAATTTTTATCTAAATGTTAAATATATGTCCATGCATCTCGCATTTCGTAGATAAATTTTTTTTGTATGTTTGATCTAGATAGATCCTTTGACATGAGATTCCGGGTTTGCATTTTACTGCTTATGTCAGAGATATTAGTATAGAAAGTGTCACCAGTAAACTTAACCTTCCTCGATTATCGTGTCATTCACTTTGTGATTCATTTCACTCCGCCCTCGCTAGATACGGAGACATTAATCTATACGTTCCCACTACTATACCAGCCATCAAGTATGACGGCATTCGCGTAATTGCTCTTAATTCATTGTAAGTGACTGTCCAGACATTTAAGAATGCCATTCATGCCCGTGTTCTTCAGACTTTCATCTCTCAGTGGGGGAAAAAATCACGCCGATAATGTTGCAAAGTGATCAAAATCGATTCAACTCGTCGGCTATTTGAAAAAAAAAATCGTAATTTGATACAGAAAAAAAAATTGTATTTAATACCATATTTTTAATTTTTTTGGACAGTGAATTAAAACGATAAATGATTTAGTAGCCTTTTATCTTTAAGATCATTATACATTTGTAAAGGAGATAATATGTAACATATATGTAACAAATAAATTTGGACAACGCTTGTTGATGATTAAAACATCGAAAATTAGCTGATATTTTTAATTTCGAAAGATCGATGCGTAATCACATTTATATGTCATTGATTTGTGCAAGTTTTGTGTATATGCATATTACACGAGTTATTTCTCTTCGGTGTCGGGTTCATTATCGGATACCCATATCGGTTTACCGTAGTTCTCCTTGAGTTTTTGCAAGCGCGTGTCTGCACAAATATGTAAAAAATGGTGTCTTCAACTGTAGAACACTTGGCCCATTGAAAACATCGGCTGTTTTATGTGCTTCATGCAGCTGCAATTGCAACTGTCAATTATTATTCGTATTAATTCGTAAACATATCGTAAATTAAAATTAGACAGAACGTTTCGTTAGAGGTTACTCTAATCTAAATCATCATCCGCTCTATTTTATAAAATATCTAATCATTGTTGATGATTGACAAATGTTAATATGACATTTCTTGCTTAGCGTGAATTAGCACGAAAAATTTGTATTTTATTTATCGTATGTGTGTACATACGATATAATTTAAGTTTATACATGGAAAATTAATTCATATTCTATCAAAATAATTAATATTTAAATTTAAATTATTTAATTATAATTTTGAATTAAGCTATTTAATTAATTTGATATTTAATGATATTTAAATTTAGATATTTGATTTTTAATTGATATTTAATTACATAATTAGCATTAAATAAATAATTTGACATTTAAATTTATATAAACTGTTGCTGGTTACATACTGTATAAAAATAATTAGCATATTTTAAGTTTGATATTTCTAAATTTCATTCACCGAATAATTTTTTCAATAATATCAAAAAAGGAAAAAATAAGGATTATCAAAATTTCGCTTTATTCATTATATTTATTACTACTTTCACATCTAAGTATGCTTTCGATTTTTATTCACCACTTCGCTGTATGCAGATGCATTGCGTATAAAATAATGCGAATGCAATAATTCCATTATAGAGTTACCACAGTATTTTGTAAGAGTCAACATTACGCCAATGGCAGAACCTCCCGTTATTTACCTCTTTACAGGACATTCGATGCGACGCCGTTGCGGTGTGTGTATATTTTGCATGTGTGACATCATTCGCGTGATGTAATCGTAGTATAGTGAGCGCGAGGCGTTGCGTCTCCCACGCAAGCATGTAATGTTTTATTAAATGAACACATCTGCATATAGTATTTATATAATATATATATATGTTTACCTTTTCATTATTTATCATGTAATTTTACATATTTTTAATGTAATTTTACATATGTTTTTACAGTGTACCCGATCAAGTATATCCAATTATATATATATATATATATATATATATATATATATATATATATATATATAGAGGTATACTCGATCGGGTACACTGTAAAAAAATATGTAAAATTACTTGAAAAATATGTAAAATTACATAAATAATCAATGTGAAATTACATGATAAATAATGAAAAGGTAAACATCTCTATTATTTATCGTGTAATTTTACACTTATTATTTATGTAATTTTACATATTTTTGTGTAATATATTACATATTTTTTTACAGTGTGTAGGCTCGTTAACAATCTGCACATGAATATTGGACGAAAATCGAAACAGAAATGAATTTTTGTTTAAAATTATTTTTTTTATAATCAAAAAAAAAAATAATTTAATATGGAAAATGTAGAAATAACGTTGTTTAATGCAGATATTCTATATCATGTATGTAACTTATATATGTTTAAGGAAATACATTTTTTAATGTGTTCTAATAATAGAGAGATGATATGTGTGATATACCTATCAGAAATTTATTACAAGATAAATTCATAAATCAGGTGCTAAAGTTTATTTATTGCAGTTCGTTTTAAAACGGATTTATCAGTATTTACTTTTTGATATCACAAATATAATCTTTAGAAAATAAAAATTGTGCTTATACTGTAAGATTTGCTTTTATAATGCAGGAAAAAAATGTGCAAAAGTTTAAGAGTATGTTTTCTGTTTTGAAAGTAGTTTTTTTAAACGAAATTATCAAGCCTTTGATCGAAATAAACAATTTCTCTCAAATTAAGCTCTTTGAAAATGGAAATTTTAAAAAATTAATTTTTATTTTACATGTCAGAATTTTTATTTGAAAACAAAAATTTGAAAATATGCATTCAGTGAAACTTTTATTAGGAAAAAGTCAATTTTATATTGTTCAAATAATACGCCATTGAAGTTTTGACATTTTTATCAATTTGGACACATCGACAAAAATTAAAATTTATCGAAAAAGAATTAAAAAATCTATGTAAATTACATATATGCAATTACATTGCACTGTCGAACAGTATCTTATAGCATTTAATTCCTGTCTAAAGTTTCTATATTATTCATTTAATTATTAGGCGTTTTTCGAAAGAAGAGAGAAAAAAAATTGCCCGTGCATAAGAAGATAAGATTATTTTACCATTCTCTCTTATCTCTAAAAATTCTGTAATTATCTGTAAAAAAATGACTGACGCGACGAGTCACTAGTGCTTACTAAAGGCACGTTTTGTATGCATCATGTTGCTTACTATTGTATTATGTGTGGGTAGAAGAAGGACAAAATTTTTATAATTATTATGTCCTCGTTTATTTTATGCGTGGTACCATTGCTTATGGCTTATGATTGAAGATATATATATATATATATATATATATATATATTCAACGTTAAATATTTTTTATATTATATAGTTTTTGCAGAATATCCCATAACTGAATAGTACAGTCGAAAAGTGAATTAATTCTAAATGAAAAAATACGCCAAAAATGCAGAATAAATTTTTTTGTTCTGTTTTCGATTAAATTAACTTTGAAAATTGATTATATTGAAAGTAATATTAATGAATATATATATATATATATATATATATATATATATATAGAATATATTTATAGTAATAATATATTTTTTTAACTTGGATGGATCTCTGACAATCTTGTCTTATATTATATTAAATTTATCTCGAGTAATTAAAAGACGTATTAAAAAGTCATTATTAAAACATATGTATATAGAAAAAAATGTTGCAACATTCTCTATTTAAAAAATAAAATTTATTATATTAAATGGGAAAACTGCACTTTTATATTATATTAATATATATATGATAATATAATAGAGTTTATATAACGTCGAAAATTTGTCTGTAATTGCTTTCGCTCGAATTAACGACCTCTCTTAATGCTGTTCCAGGTACACCCTTTTTAAGGGCTGTTGGTCCGATTGACAAAATGACGACCGATATCTCGGTGGTGCGTGGGGGATGGGACCCCACGTTGCAACAAGAGATTGTCGACGAGTACGAATACGATGGGGGAAACTCGAGTTCGAGACTTTTCGAACGCTCACGTATCAAGGCGTTAGCTGGTATGCCAATCTTGTTGATTCATTATTAATCATATTGTAATCTCTGTCCTCTCTGCTCGATTCTGTAAGATAAATTACACAGAGTTCTTTTTTTTTATATTATTATTTTGCAGAGTTGGGTAAAAGAGAGTTAATTTTTTTTAACTAACAATAAGTTAAGTTAAAAGTTGCATGAACAAAAAATTCACCCAGTTAAAATTAAGTTAAGATTAAATTAACTAAAGTGGAATCAAAAGTTAATTTTTTAAACACATTATTTATATTAAATTAGAATTTTGTTTGTTAATTCTTTCAAAATTTATAATAACAAATAAAGAAATTTTGATTTTTATATAGAAATATATTTTTAGTAATTACAATTGATGATCATAAAAATTAATATTAAAAACGTGTATTCGCTCGATAATAAAAATTAATACTTTAATTTGAAAATAATACGTTTATAATTTATAAAAAACAATAGAATGATATTTAGAGATAAAAAATTTTAACTTGGGATAAAAGTTTAAATTAATACATTTTAAATTAATTAAGCTAACAAAAGTTAAAAGTTATAACCTTTTTAACTTTTTTTTTGAATTTTTAACTAATTAACTAGTTACCCAACCCTATTATTTTGTAATAAAAATGGTAAAATATGCATGCATTAGTGAAATTATATGTTTGAGATATCAATCAACCGCATCCTCTTGATAATCGCTTTACGAATTCGATAACTTGACTTCTCAAACAGTTGCTTTTCAGCCTGGATTGAGAGTGGTCCATATACTCTTTTAAATTGTTATTATGAGTGTAATAATTGATTCAAATTTTATATTTTGATTATTATTTGAGAAGAGAGAAAAATTAATATACTGGAATTGCAACATTTTTTTAAAGATGAATTATGATAAAGTTGTGTTTGATCTTCGAGGTAAAGAAACTCCATATTAATTATTCTTCAAGCCTACTATTTATTAATTAAATTAATTCGATTATTATTATTATTATTAAACAAAGTATTTTTTCTATACTCAAAAATGAACATGTAAAAATATTTAAATTAAATATAACATATAACTCTAACAAAATAGTAATTTAGTTGAAAGGTTTTGCTTTCAATTGGTCAAGTTAACAAAATTTTTTTTAGTGTACATACTTTGTCTATCTTAAATTAATATTGTTAATTAAGTTCATACAAAAATATATCTTGATATACATTAATTTATTGATATTAAATTGATAATTTGATCTTAAGAAAAAAAATATATACACACTTAAATTTGTTAAAAATTAAAACTGCTCACACACGTAACTTTCCTCATCAGGTGAGCGTGAATTAGTGCAGAAGAAGACTTTCCAGAAATGGGTAAACTCCCACTTGGTTCGATGTTCGTGCCGGATCGGCGATCTCTACGTCGATCTGCGAGACGGCAAGATGCTGATAAGACTCCTGGAGATCCTGTCGGGCGAGCGCTTACCGCGTCCGACCAAGGGCAAGATGCGCATCCATTGCTTGGAGAACGTGGACAAGGCCCTGCAGTTTCTGCGCGAGCAGAGGGTGCATCTGGAGAACATGGGTTCCCACGACATCGTCGACGGGAATCCGCGTCTCAGTCTGGGTCTGATCTGGACGATCATCCTGCGCTTCCAGATCCAGGACATCACGATCGAGGAGACGGATAATCAGGAGACCAAGTCCGCCAAGGACGCCCTGTTGCTCTGGTGTCAGATGAAGACCGCTGGTTACCACAACGTGAACGTGAGGAACTTCACCACCTCGTGGCGAGACGGTCTGGCGTTCAACGCGATCATTCACAAACACCGTCCGGACCTGATCCAGTTCGACAAGCTGTCCAAGTCGAACGCGATCTACAATCTCAACAATTCGTTCAACGTCGCGGAGGACAAGCTCGGCCTCACGAAGCTCCTAGACGCCGAGGACATTTTCGTCGATCATCCCGATGAGAAATCCATCATAACATACGTCGTCACGTATTATCACTACTTCTCGAAGATGAAGCAGGAGACGGTGCAGGGCAAGAGAATCGGTAAGGTGGTTGGTATCGCGATGGAGAACGATCGTATGATACACGAGTACGAGAGCCTCACCAGCGACCTGTTGCGCTGGATCGAAGCGACGATAGAGGCGCTCGGCGATCGCAGATTCGCCAATTCCCTGGTCGGGGTCCAGTCGCAGCTCTCGCAGTTCTCGAATTATCGCACCGTCGAGAAACCACCGAAATTCGTGGAGAAGGGTAACCTCGAGGTGCTGCTCTTCACTCTACAATCGAAGATGCGCGCGAACAATCAGAAGCCTTACACGCCCAAGGAGGGCAAGATGATATCCGATATCAACAAGGCCTGGGAGAGGCTGGAAAAGGCGGAGCACGAACGAGAGTTGGCTCTGCGCGAGGAACTGATCCGGCAGGAGAAGCTGGAGCAACTGGCGGCTAGATTCAATCGCAAGGCCAGCATGCGGGAGACATGGTTGTCGGAGAATCAACGACTGGTGTCGCAGGACAACTTCGGCTTTGACCTCGCCGCCGTGGAAGCCGCCGCCAAGAAGCACGAGGCCATAGAGACCGACATCTTTGCCTACGAAGAGCGTGTACAGGCTGTCATGGCGGTCTCCCAGGAGCTCGAAGCGGAGAATTATCACGATATCGAGCGTATCAATGCCCGCAAGGACAATGTTCTGCGCTTGTGGAACTATCTTCTGGAGCTCCTACGCGCTAGGCGGATGCGGCTGGAGCTATCGCTGCAGCTGCAACAAAACTTCCAAGAGAAGTTGTACATCCTGGACAGCATGGAGGAGATCAAGATGCGACTGTTGACGGACGATTACGGGAAGCATCTGATGGGCGTGGAGGATCTGCTGCAGAAGCACTCTCTCGTCGAGGCGGATATCAACGTGCTAGGCGAGAGAGTCAAGGCCGTCGTCCAACAGAGCCAGAGATTCTTGGAGCACGGAGAGGGCTACCGACCTTGCGACCCGGCCATCATCGTCGAACGCGTGCAACAGCTGGAGAACGCGTACGCCGAATTGGTGCGACTTGCGATCGAACGTCGTACCAGGCTCGAGGAGTCCCGAAAGCTTTGGCAGTTCTACTGGGACATGGCCGACGAGGAGAATTGGATAAAGGAGAAGGAGCAGATTGTGTCTACGGGCGACATCGGTCACGATCTGACGACTATTAATCTGCTATTGTCTAAGCACAAGGCGTTGGAGAACGAAATACAGTCGCACGAGCCGCAGTTGATGTCGGTCGCTGCTGTTGGTGACGAACTAGTTCGGCAGCAGCATTTCGGCTCGGATCGTATTCAAGAAAGACTCCAGGAAATTCTTGGCATGTGGAATCATTTATTAGATCTGGCAGCTTTCAGGAGAAAACGACTCGAAGAGGCTGTCGACTATCACCAGCTCTTCGCGGACGCAGACGACATCGATATTTGGATGTTGGATACCTTACGGCTCGTCTCGTCGGAGGACGTCGGTAGGGACGAGGCGAATGTGCAATCGTTGCTGAAGAAGCACAAGGACGTGACGGACGAGCTCAAGAATTACGCCACGACTATCGAGCAACTTCATCAGCAGGCGTCCACGTTAGGCGAGCAGGACGCGAAGTCACCGGAAGTCCTGGAAAGACTGACCTCGATAGATAACAGGTATAAAGAGCTCCTGGAGCTAGCTAAATTGCGTAAGCAAAGACTCCTGGATGCCCTGTCGTTGTACAAGGTATTCAGCGAGGCTGACGGAGTCGAGCAATGGATCGGCGAGAAGAACAGGATGCTGGATACGATGGTGCCCGCCAAGGACATCGAGGACGTCGAGATCATGAAGCATCGTTACAACGGCTTCGAGAAGGAGATGAATGCAAACGCGTCTCGCGTCGCCGTAGTCAATCAATTGGCCAGGCAGCTGCTCCACGTCGAGCACCCGAACTCAGAGCAGATAATCGCGCGACAGAACGAGCTCAATCAGAAGTGGGCCGAGCTGCGCGAGAAGGCGGAGGGTAAACGCGAGGAATTGAACTCCGCGCACGGCGTGCAGACGTTCCACATCGAGTGTCGCGAGACCGTTTCGTGGATCGAGGACAAGAAGCGAATCCTCCAGCAGACCGATAGCCTGGAGATGGATCTGACCGGCGTGATGACGTTGCAGCGCAGACTGAGCGGCATGGAACGCGATCTGGCGGCTATTCAGGCCAAGTTAGATTCCCTGGAGAAGGAAGCGGAAGTGATACAGAAGGATCATCCGGAGGAGGCGGCTATGATACGCGACAGAATCGCGCAGATCCATCTGATTTGGGAGCAGTTGACGCAAATGTTGAAGGAGCGCGACGCCAAGCTCGAGGAGGCCGGAGATTTGCACCGGTTCCTGCGTGACCTCGATCACTTCCAAACGTGGCTTACGAAGACCCAGACCGACGTCGCCAGCGAGGACACGCCGACCAGTCTCGCCGATGCCGAGAAGCTACTGACGCAGCATCAGAACATCAAGGAGGAGATCGACAATTATACCGACGACTATCAGAAGATGATGGAGTACGGCGAGCGACTGACGACGGAAGCCGGAGACGGCGACACGCAGTACATGTTCTTGAGGGAAAGACTGAACGCGCTGAAGATGGGCTGGGAAGAGCTGCACCAGATGTGGGTGAACCGTCAGAATTTGCTGTCCAATTCTTTGAATCTGCAAGTGTTCGATCGAGACGCGCGTCAGGCGGAGGTGCTCCTGTCACAACAGGAGCACATCCTCGCCAAGGACGAGACGCCGGCGAACTTCGAGCAAGCGGAGCACATGATCAAGCGACACGAAGCTTTCATGACAACCATGGACGCCAACGACGAGAAGATCAATTCAGTTGTGCAATTTGCCGGACGTTTGGTCGATGAGGGGCACTTCGCAGCCGATAAAGTGAAGAAGAAGGCTGAGAATATCAACGAACGTCGCCGGGTCAATCGCGAGAAGGCTAATATACTCATGGAGAAGCTCAAGGATCAGCTGCAGTTGCAAATGTTCCTGCAAGATTGCGAGGAACTCGGCGAATGGGTGCAGGAGAAACATATCACCGCTCAGGACGAGACGTATAGAAGCGCGAAGACTATTCACAGCAAGTGGACTCGTCATCAGGCCTTCGAGGCGGAGATCGCGAGCAACAAGGACCGTTTGCAGCAGTTGCAGCAAGCCGCGGACGAGTTGATTCAACAGAAACCAGACCTGGCCGAGATTATCAAACCGAAGGTGACCGAACTGGCGGATCAATTCGTGGAGTTGGAGACCACGACTCACGACAAGGGTGAACGATTGTTCGATGCGAATCGCGAGGTGTTGATACACCAGACCTGCGACGACATCGACACCTGGATGAACGAGCTGGAGAAGCAGATCGAGAGCACTGACACCGGCTCTGATCTCGCTTCTGTGAACATACTGATGCAGAAGCAGCAGATGATCGAAACGCAAATGGCGGTGAAGGCGAAACAGGTCACCGAGCTCGACAAGCAGGCGCAACACTTGCAGCGCACGGTGCCGGACGACAAGATGGAGGAGATTAAGTGCAAGAAGGAGAAGGTCGCCCAGAGATTCGCGCAGCTCAAGGCGCCGCTCATCGATCGTCAGCGGCACCTCGAGAAGAAGAAGGAGGCCTTCCAATTCCGGCGCGACGTCGAGGACGAGAAGCTGTGGATCGCAGAGAAGATGCCGCAGGCGACCAGCCCCGAGTACGGAAACTCCTTGTTCAACGTCCATATGCTGAAGAAGAAGAATCAGTCGCTGCGTACGGAGATCGACAACCACGAACCCAGGATCAATCTAGTGTGCAATAACGGGCAGAAGCTGATCGACGAGGGACACGAGGACAGTCCCGAGTTCCAGAAGCTGATATCCGAATTAACGGAGAAGTGGCACGAGCTGAAGGACGCGGTCGACGATAGGAACAGGAATCTGTTGCAGAACGAGAAGGCGCAGCAGTACTTCTTCGACGCTACCGAAGCCGAGTCGTGGATGAGCGAGCAGGAGCTGTACATGATGGTCGAGGATCGCGGCAAGGACGAGATCTCCGCCCAGAATTTGATGAAGAAGCACGAGTCTCTGGAACACGCGGTCGAGGATTACGCGGAGACGATTCGTCAGCTTGGCGAGACCGCTCGACAGCTGATCAACGATCAGCATCCCTTGGCCGATCAGATCGCCGTGAAGCAATCGCAGGCGGACAAACTTTACGCCGGCCTGAAGGATCTCGCGGGCGAAAGACGCGCCAAACTGGACGAGGCGCTCCAATTGTTCATGCTGAACCGCGAGGTCGACGATCTCGAGCAGTGGATTCAGGAACGCGAACTGGTCGCCGGCAGTCACGAATTAGGTCAGGATTACGACCACGTGACCCTGTTGTGGGAGAGATTCAAGGAGTTCGCGCGCGACACTGAAGCGATCGGCTCCGAGAGGGTGGAAGCCGTGAACGGAATCGCCGATTCTCTGATCGCCACAGGACACTCGGACGCGGCGACGATTGCCGAATGGAAGGACGGCTTGAACGAGGTCTGGCAGGATCTGCTGGAGTTGATTGAGACGCGTACGCAAATGCTGGTGGCCAGTCGCGAGCTTCACAAGTTCTTCCACGACTGCAAAGACGTTCTCGGCAGAATCCTGGAGAAGCAGAACGCCATGTCCGACGAACTGGGTCGCGATGCCGGCTCGGTGTCCGCTCTCCAACGTAAGCACACCAACTTCATCCAGGATCTGTCCACGTTGCAGAGCCAGGTGACGCAGATCGAGGAGGAGTCTGCGAAACTTCAAGCGAGTTACGCCGGCGACAAGGCGCGAGAGATCACGAATCGCGAGGCGGAAGTTGTGGCGGCGTGGAACAACCTGCAGTCACTGTGCGAGGGCAGACGTACCAAGCTGGAGGACACCGGCGATCTCTTCAGATTCTTCAACATGGTCAGGACCCTGATGATCTGGATGGATGACGTTGTGCGTCAAATGAACACGTCCGAGAAGCCGCGCGACGTCGCCGGCGTCGAATTACTGATGAACAACCATCAGAGCTTGAAGGCGGAGATCGACGCCAGGGAGGACAACCTGATGGCGTGCATCAATCTCGGGAAGGACCTGCTAGCCAGGAATCACTATGCTAGCGTGCAGATAAAGGAGAAACTGGCGGCGTTGACCGATCACAGGAACGCGCTTTTACATCGATGGGAGGAACGTTGGGAAAATTTGCAGCTCAGTAAGTTGCACTCAAATATATATCTCACAATTTTGTATTTGATATTCTTTCATTAATATTACGCATATCTAAAAAATATATAATATTTTATGTGCGTTTCATTAATGCTTGCTTATTTTTTTGCTATAGTTTTGGAAGTCTATCAGTTCGCTCGAGATGCAGCGGTCGCTGAAGCCTGGTTAATCGCTCAAGAACCATACCTTATGAGCCAGGAGCTCGGTGTAAGTAATTCTTTTCGCGAACGTAAAATTCGAATTCTTAATCGAGCGAGAGAGCAGGTCTCTTTAAAGAAGAAAATTATTCTTCCAGCATACTATCGACGAGGTTGAAAATTTGATCAAGAAGCATGAAGCTTTTGAAAAATCGGCAGCTGCACAAGAAGAAAGATTTAGTGCCTTGCACCGACTTACCACTGTAAGTAATCATTTCTAGATAACATATTGTAATAAAGAATCTGAAAATGCTGTAAAATAATTATATTAATATTAACAATTTTTTATTATTATCTGTTTAAATATATAAATCTTGTCGCAGTTATCTGCTACTTTTATCTTTTCTAAATGAAGGCTCCTCTGACGTCATAATCTGACATAACCGGCGAGAAGCCAGGAATCTTAATAAAACACAATAATACAAATTATTAATGTTGTTACGATTTTGGAAATTAAATAAATAAATAAATAAATAATGTTTCTTCTTCTTAATGCAGTTCGAACTGAAAGAGCTAAAACGACGGGAGCAAGAGAGGGAAGAAGAGGAAAGACGCAAGAAGGAAGAGGCGGCAGCAGCGGAGGCCGCACGTTTGGCCAAGGCAACACCTGTAACTAGTCCGGACGAACCACCCAGTGAAAGGTAAGTGTAGATATTTTATCGCGATTATACACACGATCTGATGCGATCATAATTATGATGAAAAAATTTTGTTTGCCACAGAGCCGAAACTGATGGAGCAACCAGCGGAGAACGCGGTGAAGACGAGGGACACGGTATGATTGCACTTAATGAATATATTTCTTGGGTTAATACTAATCGATACTGTAACTCTTCTCGGTACTTATCGTATCTGCTAATTCGTCTCAAGATTCACGTTTGAAGATGCTATTGGTATTGATGAATAATGATCGGTATTTAATACACGTACATTATTTAGAGTTTATAGAATGTAATGTCGAGTGCTTTCTTAATGGGGTTGTATTCGTAATGTATTCGTAAAAACTTGTTGATTTGGCGTAGTGATACGATTGCAAGATGGTATAGTAATTAATTTTCTACAACCGAAGGAGAGAGAAATTGAAGAGAAAATAGCGAATCGAGTTCAATATATAACAGTTTGTTTCTTTCGTTGTATGACTAATACAATCGGTACAAAATCTTGCTTGAGAGTAAATTTTAACTCTGGCCACTAGCATTACGGTTTGTTTGGATAAGCATGTGTGACATCGCTAACAGCACGTTTATTTTTGCCTCGTCCCATCCGTGCGAAACCCAAAAATCTATTCCGATCCGACATACGAAATCCGTCGGTCCACGTCTCCATCTGTCATATTATCTCCCTTCCAAATTGCACCCTAATGCGGCACGGAATGCACGAACCACAGTGGCACATCGCAAGGCTTCTACACGTACACCACAGCCTCAGGACAAACCCAAGGAAGGTGAGTGTTACGTGAGGCGTGTAAAACTTGTGTAACATATACATATTTAAGATTACATCTTAATTCCTCCATGCGACTTCTGTCCTGAAATTATAATCAGATCTTACCTGATGGTTCCTACCTTTCATCAAATTGGTGACGGATGGATAACAGATGACGGATCATACAAACACTTATATATATATATGTAATTGCTTCGCTCTGCAGATTCACATAAAATTTCACAAGTCACATATGTTACAATATAATCTTGTATCTTTCAGCGCACCTATCGCTCTCGCCCGCACAAATCGTCATTTATGCGCTTTTATTAATTTTTTTCTCTACCAGGTGTCGGCTGTTTCTACCCCGAGATGCTCATCTCGCCATCTGTCGCAAACTGATATATCAAACATATGTTTCATAATTTACTAAATATTTCTAATAATATAGATAATATTTAATTGAAATACATATGTACGCGAGAAACGATATACATATCTATGACATGAATAATTTAATATAATATTATCTATATTATTATTGTTACTGTTTTTGTACTGTATGCTCTTAAAATCATTTCATTCGCATCGCTGACTTGGTAGGTACTTATTTCAACTATCGTATTTCTCATTCATTGCACGATTATGTGTTGACTTGCTTAGATGATAAAATGCTTAAATACCTTATTTATTGGAAGATAAGCATATCGGAATTATTCAGTCATTCTACAGATAAAAGCACGACCTTGTTTGATTATTCCAATGCAAATGTATATCATTGTAAAAATATATTTAAAATTATTTATGAACATATATTTATATAATAATAATAATTATATATTTAAAAAAAGAATTATTTATTATTATAATGTATATTTTATATTTTAAATTATATATAGAAAATTCACGATAAAATTTTATTTTCGTTTATCTCAGCAGCTTAATTCTTCCACAAGGAATGCCTTCGCGTTATCAGTTGTAGTACCTAATTAATATTATTGGTTGAGTATACATATACGTAAGGTATTTAATATATCGATCAAGAATAATTATATATAATATATAGCATGATTTTGTGATTGGTGTGGTGTAGTGCATGCACAAAAACCTAGACAACTGTCTTTCCGGGATGGAGAAGGGATCCCTGTCGCGCCGACCTCTGCGAAAACTCCGCCGCATGGTATTCCTCGCACACCGACAAGTAAGTGTTCAATGATCTGTCTCAAATTACATATACGTTGTAAACAAATATCGTTTATTAATATATTTTCCTCGGCGATTGTCTTGCATAAGCAGTCGAGGCAAATTGCATAATTAATGAGACTACATTTTTTAAATCAGGACATAAGAAATATCTCAAGATGTGTAAGGATGCAATTTTTGATTGAGATTAATTAATTAATTAATTTATTTATTTAATTAATTTAATTTATTTATTTTAATGTAAGAATGAGGAATATCTCGGATGCGATTTTTCGGGATTAATTCGTGTTGAAATAATTCAGCTTTTCCCCGGAAACGGTCTTCGTTTGCAAGGGTCCATAAAGACACGCGGTTCCATGTTCGTCCACAAAACGACAAGCTTTTATGACCCGCAGAACCTCGTCCACAGAACGCGGTAAATCGTCGTCGTTTATTGTTACGTGACGTACGATTCCCTGCTCGTCTATAATAAACAGAGCTCTATATGCTACTCCGTGCTTTTCGTTCAGCACGCCGTAGTCCTTCGTTATCCGATGATTCTTGTCGGAGAGCAAGGGAATTTTCATTTCACCCAAGCCTCCTTGTTTCCGCGGCGTCGTCACCCAGGCAAAGTGCGAAAATTTGGAATCCGTTGAAACAGCTACCACCTGCGAGTCTGTAATAAAATATGAGAATTAAATCAAAATATGAGATTCAATTTTATTCATTTTTTATTAATTAATATATTAATTTTTACTTAATAAATTAAATTATTCTATGTGTCATTCATGCCTAAATTTTTTTTATTATTCTGCATTAGTAAAAATACAACTCAATGTATGAATGGGCTTTATTATAATTGAGGATATACAATTATTTATTAATTCATGAATCGAAGAGTTCGCTATATTTTATCAATGTATTATTGAAGACGAAAAAATTAATTTATTTCCAAAAATAATTAATTCGATTATTTAGTATAAAAAAAATTTACAAACATTTTGTCAAAGAAATTAATGATAGACTCTATTGTGTACGAAAAAAAAGTTTTTTTTTTCCAATTTATTTTAATATTAAAAATTGTTTAATAGCGAGAAGGGGATGAAAAATTCATACTAATATGGTGAAATTCGGCGATGCGGTCACTAAATTGAATGAGCTCGATGGGACATACGAAGGAGAAGTCGAACGGATAGAAAAGCAGTATTAAGTATTTTCCCGAAAAATTTTCCGATGACAGTTCTTGCATCTTCAAATCAATTATCGCAACACCCGACCAGGATGGCGCGGGTCGTGACACCGCTGCTGATATCAGTCGTACTTCCGGCTGGATTTCCGACGTGGTTTCCCATCTTTCCGCGCAACACGAGTTCATCCCGAACGTATTTATATTAATTTTAAATTCGTCATGATCGTACTAATGTATTCCTCGAGACCATTGCATGTCTCGTGGAAATTACAAATTACATTGCAAATCGTTGTAACTACAGATATACAAAACTTTTTACGATCGAAATTGTTTCTGTTTTGTTGTCACGCGACTTCACTATTTTTAAAACGTCAGAATTCTATATTCATTCTGTCACGAAAAATAAATAATGACACTTTCTCGCGTGACAAATATGCATGCTTAAGTTTTGATGCCAAAGATTTTCTGCGTCTCTTTTAAACATTGAGTTTTGATTTGTTAAGAGAACACTTCTGGAAATATATAATTTCCTTTATTCGATCATATTTTTAAAATTTATTCTTCGATGAAGAATATATTGAAATCAATCATAATTACTTTAAAAAGGAAATTATTTTGAAACTGCAAAATGTTCCACAAGGTAATCGATCTCAATAATTTAATAATATTCTAGAGATATTTCTCAGCTAGATGTTATTTTCATAATATATGAAAAAATTATAAAAATAGCAAATATAAAGCAACAATAATTTTTAGTTTATTTTAACATGTATAATAATGAACTTTTAATTTAATTAATTAAATAGATCTTTTTTTTTTTGCAGAAAAATGTTCTCTTAGAGTACATGATTAAATTTTGTCGATTTCCTTTGTTGTGAAAAAGTTATGTATATAGCTTTTCCTTCTTTAATACAGATAATTTTTAAGAGTGACAACTGTGCACAATAAGGTCAGATTAATTTTAATACAATAACAGTTTAATCTTATATATATAAGGTTTCTCTCTTTTAATTTAGAAAAAAAGAGAATAATCATTTTCATTAATTAAAAGAGATTAGCCGTAATAAATACATCAAATTAAATGATTGAACACTCGATGGGACATCTTGCATATAAATATAGAAATATGTATATATATTTTAGCATAGACAATTATTTATACATTATAAATACAATAATTCTCTCGAGATGACAATACTTCATTCTATTCATGACCTTTAGTTCATGTATATCAAGTACTTGACATTTGCATGAGCATGTTGCATGAATGTATCCTCGTATATTGTTCGTAGTTGGAGGGCATGAAAAAATAATGTACATGCATATATATATATATGTATGGATATGAGGATTATTAATGAGACATGTTATTTACCCGATCAATTCTCTGCTACAAGCTAAGTGGTTCAGGGTAATACAAAGTAAGTAGCTAATAAACGTTATGTGTGTTGCGTACGTCGTTAAGCTCCAAAAGGAAGCGGCTCCGAGTCTTTAAGGCGTAAGGAACGAAGTCGCAGCAAGTCGCCGTTTAGGAGCTTCCGCTGGAGAAAATCCGCCAAGTCGCCGAGTTTAGATCGCAGTGGCGTGAGTGACGATGAACGTAGTATCCCCGGTAAGTGAAGAAGAGATTTACGTGGTCTTCAATAGTTAGAGATGTACCTGATGTCTTTACTCATTATGTATACATATATTATTTACACAGATAATCCACTTCAGCATCTGACGATAAATAATATTATTCGAAAAAACTGGAAATGTCACGTGTTTTTAGTTTGTGAAATTCTAAATTGCTGCTGAGATAATTTTTATTGAACATCCAGGTGGATTCTCTGATCTTTCATGTATATCCACCGTCTAATAATCGCTTTACTAATTCATCATGCTTTATTCTTTCAGTTACTACTTAAGCATACTATACATTATATTTAACTATTACTTCAAGTATTCAAAGAAGTCAGCTGTGATGAAATTACACGATTTAAAGGGAAGACACTCGAAGAGAGCCACATTGTGTCTGACTAACAAGTAAAGGAACGAGTGATCGGGGAATTATTTCTGTTTCAATTATCTTCATAAAGATATATGTCAATGCATGTCGGCTTCTTGTCGTTCAAACGTTAAATAAACATATGTCTTTTGAAGTGAAATATAACAAGGAATTAAAACATCTAAGATTTTCACGTGTTGTGTGGGCGGTGTATTTCTCATCCAAAGCATGTCGTGACTAATCCTTACAATAATTAACATCATTGATTACTTACAGCAGCACTTTATTCTTCAAGAACAAGGGATAGAGCAGGCTGATGTTCTTCTGTATAGACAATAATTTAGAATCTAGTTCTAATTTTTTTTTTTAGACACTCGTTCTCTCGACGAATAATAAATAGCGACAATTGGAATAAAATAAAATAATGCCGAATGTTAATCTCTTGCAGAGGCGCGAAGTCCGAGCGACGACGAATTCGAGGGACCCTTACAGCGGAAGCACGAATGGGAGAGTACGACGAAGAAGGCATCCAATCGCTCCTGGGACAAGGTGTACATGGTCGTACGCGGGCAGAGCCTGTGTGTATATAAGGATCAGAAGTCGTACAAGGCTTCGCCTGATCAGTCGTACAAAGGAGAAGCTCCCCTTGACTTACGAGGCGCAACTATTACCGTAGCGAGTGATTACACTAAGAAGAAACATGTCTTCCGAGTCAAGTCAGTACTCAGAGACACCTCGTATAATATTTAATTCGCATTTTACGTCTCCATAAATATTATATTGTTTGTTTTCTTTTGTAGGTCGCAAAGCGGATCCGACTTCCTGTTCCAGGCCAAAGACGACACCGAGATGAACGACTGGGTGTCCGTGTTAAATCAAGCGGCGCAGGGAACATCAGGTGCAAGTACGTCCAGAGCTCACACTCTACCCGCCCCGACACAAGCCGAAACTAAGCGGCGTAGTTTCTTCACTCTCAAGAAAAAGTAAGTGTTGATTGAGAAATTTTGCTGTCGTATTACGTCGAGAATTTAAGACGAACGTATGAGTATTCGGCACGAGAATTTCAAGCTAAACCGAATGAGTTTTTGTAAATTTCACGAAAGTTGGCAAATAAAAAATATACTTACAACGTAATAATAATAATAAATAAATAATATATACTAATAAATCCACAATTGACGTCTAATGATATATTATCGTGAAAATTTATAAATTACGAATATATAAGTTATTAAGTTTCGCAGCATTTCAAGACATGTTACTCTCTTGTACACAAGGTGCCTGTTATCTTGTTATTATTTTTGCTTCATCCTTTCGAACGCGTTTCCCGATGAAGCTGATAGAGAATATTCTGTTAGCAATAAAAAAATTATACATTTGTCATCTTCCATTACTTCACGATGTCACTCCTCTAATGATATTCCTCACATCATTCCGCTCATCTAGCACATTTCATGTATATACCTTTTTTTTTAACAAGACTAACTTTCCTTAAATTGTTTCCATTTTTTATGTGTATTTTCGACTTTCTCTTCACTTACTTAAGACTCCTGGCTTCTTGCCGATCATGTTGGAATTGTGACGTCGGAGGTGAGAAAGCTGAAAATTCTTAGATGCCATTTTTAAACGACAAGATATTTCGAGATGGAGTCTAAAAATTTTTTTAGCGCGTTTTCTCGTCGCTGACGTCACAATTCCAACATGGTCAGCGAGGAGGCAGAAGTTTGAAACAATACGATAACCGCAATATCTTACTGGGCTATCGTAGAGAAGCATTATTCATCATCATTATCATTCACGGGTGTTGGACGATCATCTCGTAAAGCAAAGCATAATTCGAGAAGATACGCGCCCTCACTCCCTCATACGAAAATTCCAAATTCATCCTGTCGCGCATTCGTCATCACATTGCATTTATCATATTTTAGAAAAGCCAAAAAGTAGAAAGCGAAACCAATGAACGTATGAAACAGTACACAATTGGAACAACATTTAGAAATGCGGTGAGTCGCACATAATCCTAGACCATTCTACCGTATCGTACACTATTATTGCACGATTAACCGATCATCATCATTCCAGTTGTCTCTCTTTTTTTTCTTTTCTTATTCTCGTATTTAGTTTTTCGTTATATAATTATATTAGCTTCTCTCTGAAGAATATACGGCAGGAATGTTCTTCCAATTGTGAATGCGGAATGATTACGTGAATTCTCTGAAACGAGAGAATATCTTGGATGTGCGTAGAGCTTTCTGTGTTCTGAGGACATTGTTTTATCACGTAAAGAAATCTCTATAAATTTTGCAGCTCAAGGTTTTTACAAGATATAGAGATGTAAAGATGACAGTTATGTAAAACACACGATTGTTCTCTACCGCATCGATTAACATCTATGTAATAAGCGCTTATTATTCGCCTTATACATATAATCTATCGCTTTTATTTTGGACATTCTTTATTATTATTTCGCATAAGATAGTGGTGTCATGTAGATATTCGGATTATTGTGTATCGTTGTCACACAAATTTGATATTGTAGCTTATTCCACCGCTTCTGAACATCATCGTCATTTATTCTTCATGCTTTTTCTGCTATCAGAATATTCCCAGGAATTTTTATCGTAGAGGTAACTGAGAAAATTATCCGCGCATCGTCTAATTCAGACATGTACTTGACGATATGTGGCTCCTTAAAGACGGAGTAGTTGATATTTTTTATATTAGATATAAGTGACTTAATCTCTCTTTACAATGCGTTGACTTTTATAGTATCCCTCTTGTGTAACATGATTATTTTATAAATAATAGTAGTATATATCAATTAATATATTAAAAAGCTGCAGTAGAGTATTGAGATACTTTCTAGGTTCTGAGCGATAATTATTGCATTAATTAATTAATATCTGAATTTAATTTCTATTAATATTAAATTCACTTTGTGAAGAGCTCATCAAATGTCATCTGAAAGAATTATAAATGTTAATTAATTTCTTTTGTATATGTATATATAAAATTATATTGTATATATATATTTTTTCTTGTCTAGTCTTGCCATTGTGCATATGAGTACTAAATTGTAAAACAAAAAAGAAAACAGTAATTGAAAGTGACAATTATTGGCGGTCCTAATGATGAAATAATCATCACCGTTCACATTTGCTAATTTTCAGCTAAACTGGAGCAGTGAAGTTCGGTATAAGCCGTTCGTAATGCGTCTCAGCACAACATCGCGTTTATGAAAAAATGTTTCGTCGCTCTACATGGTTAAAGCAACGCTAATATTAAATTAGAAGACATGATCACACACACACATACCACACACGATGGTGTTATGAAATGAATTGAAGGACGAATTGAAAATGGGATCTTTGACAAAAAGAAAGAAAAAAAGAAAAAAAACGCCTACGTTCGACGGAATGGAGAATATTTAACGGTTATATATGTTGATATATTTACAAGTGTAGGCTATTGAAAGTCTAATTAAAAAATTTAGTTCTTCAATGAATTTTGGACACTTTGCAATATTGCTAGTTGAAGAACAAGCGACATTTAAATGTCCCATGTTAGCGTGATCAGACTTGACACGGGATTTAATTCTATAATATAATATACATATATATATATACACACGTAATTCGTATTTACATGTTTTATTGTCATTGTCATGCATAATATCATTTTCTTGTCATTCAATGTAACCGATAACATCTTTATGGTACAAATTACTTTGAATTTCTATAATTCAGCAGTTTTTCTTAAGAAAACGTGTTTATTTGACAGAGAAGACAAGCTTAATTCATCGAATCCGCAAGGAATGTAGATTACAGAGGAAACATATATACCTATTGTATTAATCACGGGGCTTATGATGATTTATAATTAATTTACGCGATGAGCACAGAGATTTTTGTGATGAGTAATTTTTAACATTTTGACGCATTTTATTGCATTTCATACAGATTCTCGTATTGATATATAAAATATAAGAGATACGATCTCTCCAACAATAAACGCGAGAACGAGAAATGATTCCAGCCGTGTTGATTGCTTAGGATATATCGCTTTCATTATCATTATATTATTGCATTGCAGTATTTTGACTTTTTTTTCCCCTGCAAACGTGTATGTTTGCGTTTGAATGACTGCCATATATTTTAAGAGCCACACTAACTTGGGACATAATATTATATAAACTAGCTTTTAATAAATTGTTAAATATGCAGCGTCCTAAGGGAAAAATCGCATTGAAGAATTATAAAGAAAATATAATAACTAACAAGAGAGTTTCCCCCTCCCTCCCGAAGAAACCTTTCCCTAAATATTCCTAAATATCATAATTCTTGTAGAATTCATTGGAAGGGATATATTTAAAAATTTCTAAACTCGTGCAAATGATACAGTTTGTATTAAGTGAGCGCTTACGGTAAATTATTGTAGCCGTAAATTATTATTATTATTATATCATTGTCGCAAATCACTGTATCTCACTTGATTCCAACTTGACATTTGGCGTGATATATTATACGGAATCATAATATTATTATCTCTTTTGTAATTGTTAATTTTTTTAATATTTATCGTATTCATCTTGTTTTTTCTTTTATAGAATATATAATTTCCTCTATCGCAAGATGTTTTAACAACTTTTTTGTGCTCCGAAACTTTTCATCATTATAATCTGGAAATTATAATGATTTTTACAAGATATTATATTGAACGACATTTCATTTGTTTTCCAAATCAATGCGACTCGGCCGACTTGTGTTAAAATATTTTTCGAGTATTTTAAGTTTGTAATTGCGTTTCTTCAGCCAAGCTTGTACGCCCAGAAATTTGTATATATACGGAGCTGTATACGCATCTACTATTATGTCCGCGTAAATAAATTCTAATCAAAATGATATCGTAAACACGAGATTCGCTTTTATAATTTTATGCATGCGCATTTAGCGAGAAAAAAAAACATATTTGAATATATAAGAGTCGCATTGCTAAACGATACAACATTTGGTATGTCATAGCTATGTGTTTTATATATAAATATATCTATAAATATATAAATACAGAGAATGATGAAGAACATTAAATTATAAGAAACAAAAATTATGATATAATAGATGATATAGATATAATAATTGTCGAATTTACATGGTGGCTCTTTTCGTTTTCAAACGTCCTTCCTTCATATATCTGTATATGTATTGTATCCTCGATAAGAAAATCCTCGATAAGGATATCGTATTGTCGATGATTCATGTCAGCGAGATTATACAATTTTTGATTTTTTTTTAGAAAATTGAAAATACATCTGATCATAAGAACGTTTTAATACGAAAAGAACTTGCATGTGTATCATTAAATATCGCTTAAATTAATACATTTGGTTGTAATTTTTCGGATTGCTACTTCTCGATACGTTAGAACGCAGATACTTGGCACAGTATTTCTCTCTTTAGCGAGAAAAAACAATTTTTCCTTTATATCTAACACTGTATTAAGAGAGTATAATTCGCTCTATTTAATTCCATCTTTCCTTGGAACAAAAACAAAACGAATCAATACTCACACTTCCTTATCACGCACGAGATAAGAATTACACGGCAATGTAATTGTGTACGCATTAATTACTTTACTTTCAAACTTCATTAAGATCAACTTGTAATTTTTTAATGTGCCTTTTTATAGCTTCGTTGAGAAATAAAATGCGATATATATATACATGAAATGTAGTTGATGCCAATGGAAAGATTTCGTCGCATTTCAAAAGGAAAACAAGAAACCCGTCTCTTTCTCTCTCTGTAAAACGTTGTGTAAAGTTCAGTTTGTGTCGGAATATACATACATATATTGTGCGAAGTCCGTGAATAACCAGCTGTCATAAAATAGCGTAGTTCGCAGAACTAAGTTTGCGATTTATAAATGTCAATGTTGAAAGTACACGCGATTGTTACAAAAAGCACTGTGTGTATATATACATATATACACATATTTTGTTACACAATTTCCATTTGCCAATATTGATTTTGTGTGTTGTCGAGAAGCAGGAAATTAAAAACCACCGAGATAACTGCACACCCTACTTACGGTTGTCGAAATAAAATTAAAAAAAAAAATATATATATATATATATATATATATATATATATAGTATCCGAAAAAAATAATTCTCTCGAATTTCGAACGATTCGCCGAACTGTCAAAGAACGCGCGTTATGCGATTTTTAGATTTTGCGAAAAATGAGAAGGAAATCATCTGACACCGCAATCGTTTGCAAAATGTGAATGATAATAATCACTCGTTCGACTCGCTTTCTATGCAATCATCAGCTGTGTAATCAATTGATTGATTTATCTCTCGGTCGAGCTCAAGGTAAGATGCGAGTTTTTCATAAAGTCTGATAAACATATATTTCAATTGCTTATTTCAGGAGGAAAATATTCCAAGATTCTTATCTTTTCGAAAAAACTGCACAAGAGCTGGATTGTTATTATTACACATATATTTTATTTTTTAATATCTGTTTTTTTTTTTATTTATGCACAGAAATTTATTTTTATTTTTACAATAAAATCTTTTTAAAATGAGCGATTCATGATAAAAGGTAAGATTGTTTTACTTTTTCACGTGATAAATTAATTATTAATCAATTATTGCATTTAATGTTGCATGCCATGAAACATTAAAATAATTTTAATTACATATTGACATATGCAGTGCCGGATTACCTTATATGCGGTCCTAGGCAAATTTGGGGGAGCCTATTTAAGGCAAGGATTTTTTGAAAATTAATTAAACATATAAGCACTAAAAAGGAACTTTAATTACTATAATACACAATTTTTTTGTTATAAATAAAATTTTTCATTTTTTTGGTAGGGGCCCATAATCAGTGCCTAGTTTGCCTATTGGTTAATTCGGCCCTAGACATATGCATTTTGTTCTTCATAAATGATAAATTGAAGATCGATGTAGTTATCAGAATTTTTGGATCATCTCAAATTTTTTAGAGGATTGGTTTACTTTTCCACGTAATTACTATTAATTATTAATCAATTGCCATAAAACACATTAAATTAATTTTAATTATATTGACGCATTTTGTTTTTAACAAATGATAAAGAATGCAATGCAGAATTTTTTAAACCGTCTTAAATTTTTTAAAAATTGTAACGCAATGATTATTCTTATAGTAAAATTATATCAATGATTATTTTATGAAGAGGATAAAAAGATGACGTTTAGATGTCGATGCATATATATTGCAAGCAGGAATCTACGTAGACACATAGACGCGTCAACGACACTATTCTAGCTATGTCAGGAAATGAAAGTCATTATTTAATATACTTTTATTATTACATCTGCACATCGTCATTAAAAGCATTCGCTCCCCCAACATGGCGATCTTTATCGAAAGGTTCTCCGTGTCTTCGCTTCTTTATTTTATTATTCACAATGTCATTCATATATGTCTGTGATATAATTTAATGAATTATTATATTTTCAATTTTTCAGAAAAAGTCACACGTCTACAAAATTATAAAAATTATGCATATATATAATTATATATTTATATATATGTATAATATTAATTCTATACATATAATTTATTAGACGCATTATGTATATTTTATATTGATATAGTGTAGAAAATATATAATTAAATAATTATATTTTTAAAAAATGCAATATACAATTAATTAAATATTTTTATCTATTTTAATATAAAAATAATTTATCTCTAATTAATCCAAAATAATTTGACAGAAATCAGCTGATGCATTCATCGCCAAGCAGGGAGGATGGCCAAAGACGAAAAAGTTGTGTTCGGTAAATGTCCGATCGCGCGGGACATTTATCGAACAGAACCTGAAGCGTCGTTCGCAAGTTCGGCGCGTGCGCATGCGCCGATTCGTGCGGATCCGCCTTGAGGCGCGATGGCCTACGCGTATAATATCCTCGCTTTCTCAAGGAAAGGAGTCAGTCTTAGGCAAGATGGCCGGTCGGACGATAGTGGCCTGTTGTTATCTCGCGTTAATCTTCCACTTGATTCTGCTGACGGAGTGCAATTACGGCGTGAGATACGGTGACAGGGCGAAGAGGCTGCACATCGCGGAGGACACCGACTCTCCCTACAGGAGGCCCTTCGTCATTGACAGGCGAGACGCGGAGGATGATGAAACGTCATTCGGGCGGACGCGCAGAGATGCGCCGTCCGAGCAGCACCCAAACAATAACCCAAACATCACGACGAGGGTACGTATACACATACATACACACACACACGCATACGCATGTGTCGCGACGAAGGTCGCCGATGGTGCGTCGCAATTCCAGCCGGCAGTGGCGCGTTTTTTCCCGTTTTTCCGGGAAAAAATATCACGTACGGGTATATCCGGGCGGTAAATAGAGACGCGCGTAAATGTGTATTTGTGCGCGCACGCACACACTTCTACGTCTCGCGGAATTTTTCCCAATGAGAGATGACGGGTGACACGCACGCACAGCGCGGCCTTTGTGCGCGGGACAGAGCCGGGGCATAATTGCCGTATTATCTCTCTCTTCCGGAGTAAATTTAATCAATCTCGGCGAAACGGAGCGTCGACGCGGTCCGCACCCGTTCATACATATATTGATACACGTACACGCGAGGGGTCACTAACCGCCCTCACTTCGGCGCGTTCTGGGTTTGTTCCCTTCCCGCTTTTCCGTGGAGGAAAATATAAATTTTCTCCTCGCGTTTTTCGCGAACTCGATTATTTTGTCGATCGGCCGTAGGAGATTATTTCATTACGCGCGATCGAAATTATTTTGACAGCTGGCGCGCCTTATTTTCCTGCGAGTATTTTCGCTCTTTTCGGACGACGGAATATTTGGGAGTGTATAAATAAAGATTTTTCCGCTGTGTTTTTCCTTCTCATCGCGCTTACAAAGTCGCGAGTACGCTTAGTCATACACAGTCTTATATAGATTAGTGCGACTACATAATGAATAGATGCGTGCATATCTATTTTGACTACTTACTTATTTTTATGATAACAAAGGAGACGCAGTACTTTGTTATTTAGTTGAAGAGATAAGGACTACCGTCTGAGTTTGCAAGCTATAAATTTAGTTGACTACGATGCATCCATCGTAGTAATAATTTTTTTTATTTCCGTTGTTTTTGTTTTTGCATGTATGTGCAAAAATGCATTTACGATATAAATCGTATTAATTTTTTATTTAAAAATAAATCTGTAAAAATATTATATATTAATTAACATTAATTTTTTATTTTTATTATTTAAAAATTGAATATTTATTATATATGTGAATTATAGATTTTTTTTTTAGGAATAAAATAATTTTTACAGAATTAGTTTTGAATAAATAATTGATATAATTTTATGGATAAATATTTAAACGATCGACTGGCTATTGATGGTGATGTTAATTTATTTGTACAGCTACGTTTCGACCCTAAATTGGGTTCTCTTCAGACTAACGTAGCTGTACAAATAAATTAACATCACCACTAATAGCCAGTCGGTCGTTTAAATATTTATCCATTGTTTTAATTTTACTGGCATTCAACCTTCTTATTTTGATATAATTTAATAAACAAATGCAAATTACATATTTTCTTATGCATAAAATAATTTCTACAGAATTATTTTTAAATTATACATACATGTATATAAAGCATGTTTTCATATTTTAAGCTGTTCTCGCAAAATTATTATGTAAAAAGGTCAAATAGCTCACTTTCACTTTTATCTTGACGTATAATTGACCTTCAATTCCACTTCCTTTATCGCTCAAAATTTTTTTCACGTTTTCAATACTTTGAGGAAAATTATGATATTAAATACGTATATATTTAATTATCTGTGTGTGTGTGTGTGTGTGTAATACTATAAGTTATTTATTCTTCTTTATCTTTCCGCGAATGATGATTTATATTTCTTGTAATATCTTCCAAGATGTTGAATGTCGAGAAAATAATCTGATACATGCATATTTTTTCACGTATCATGCATATCCAATGATTCATTTTTTTTTATCGCATTATACTTTCCTCTAAGATTACTGCAATAAAGGTGACAGTTTAAATATACGCTAATGCATCTTACATTTACATAATATTTTTACGCAGTTTTTTTTAGCCTGCTAAAACGATTACATAGACGATAGGTAGACGTTGCAATGGTTTTTCCAACCAATTTCAAGCCAACTTTACATACTCGATTTTTGTTTTATGTTTATATAATGACGTACTTATATTTCTTACCTTGGATCTTTATCTTTCACGTTGTTTGTCTGACTAATGTCATAAGATAAAAAAATATTATTATTTTCACATCATGATCGTTTTATACAAATTTATAATATTTATTTATATAATTATTTATATAATTAATATATATTATTTACAATAATTAGATATTATATATATATATATATATACAATGTGAGATTTCTTTTTCCAATTTCTCTTATAAAAATTCGTAACATCGAAAATGATATATATTTTTCATTATTACAGGTCAATGCATTAAACGATTCGCATCAGCAATTGATGGTACATTGGGTCGGGGAGGGTTCCAATGTAATAATATGTCTAGCGAGGGAAAGCGCACCAATGATGCGCATCCGAAGTGGCAAGGTCCAGCCGCTTCCTAGCGCTGTTTATATCAGTTACGATTATGGTGATACGTTCGAAAATAAGACTGACCAATTTAGGATTTCGCCTGATCCTAACGCCGACTACGCAGTCGTGGACAAATTCATCAATCATCCTAAATACTATCAACACGTGAGTCTCCTCTGTCACTTACAAAACCACAATTAATCTATTAAATTATTATAATAATATAAAAATATATTAATATATTTTTTTTAATAGATTTTTTGTATGTTTCTCTCTAATTGTAATTGGAGGAAAATTTTCAAGATCCTTCTCTTTTCTTTGCAGTGCGTTTTTGTGGACAGTCTACACAATTTGATCTTTATAACGTTTGACAATGGTAAAAATATCCAGAGGATCCCTGTACCATTTCATCCGAGCGAGGTTTCGTTTTACGAGTTGGATCCGCGAATACTCATCGCATTAGACAAAGTCGACTCGTTGCAGAGGGTACGAGATAAAATATCAGTTTGATTGCGAATTTTACACGTAACTTTATCGTTAGGATGAGACTGTAGCTTTATAGAAATTTGTAAAAGGATCATTTCTGAACTTTGTAACGCCTCGATTTCAGTTATGGATCTCTATCGATCGCGGATTAGTCTGGGTGCCGGTGCAGCATTATGTGAAGGCCTTCTTGTGGTCCCCTTATCGCGTCCTCTTCGTGGAACGCTCAGAGCCTACTGGAATGAGTTCTGTCCTGAAACTCGATCTGCAAAATGTTCTCTCCTATCAAAGTCGACATCCCTTTCGAGTAAGATCCTTAAGAACGCAATTCAAAGTTGTGATCGAGAACGTCGAGGATTTCCAAATCAGGGGCGACTACATGTTCTTCGTAAACAATTCAATGGCAAGTATTGTTGCGCGCGTGGAGATTTTTTCTCACGAATCTAGTAAAATTTATTGATAGTCCTTTTTTTCTGCTCAACAGAACAAGACGTCGGACCATCTGGATCTCCACGTGTCCTACAAAAATCAGTCGTTCGTTTTGGTGCAGTTAAACACGGAATTGGATTGTAAAGGCTATCATATCGTGGACGTGTCCTACAATCGAGTTTTCATCGCGGTGTCGCACAGCGAAACCATGGTCAATCTTTATGTGTCGGAGCTCATAGACCACGAGAAGGCTATATTTACATTATCCTTGGAGGGCATTCTCACATTTTTCCCCAACAGTACTTGGAAGAACAGCTGGTTGCAGTGAGTAATAAAATATAATAAATTTTCTAAATCGTGCAAATTTTCCAAAAGTATTTCCTTCAAATGTTCTCAACTTATTGGTGTATTTACGCACATCTATCTCTCTAGTGATGTGGCTGACGAGACATTTACGGACTTGTACAAGGTTGAAGGTCTTCGAGGTATATACATAGCGTCGCGAGTCAAAGGTACTCCGAAATCTGACTCGATCGGACCGGAAGATTTGGAATCGTTGATTACCTACGATCACGGTAGTTCCTGGAACTCAATTCCAGCACCGATGGTGAATCACGAAGGCTTCTACGTTAATTGTCCGAAAAATTGTTCGTTACACTTGAGCCAGAGATTCAGTCAGCTGTATCCGGTAACAAGATCTGTCACCATCATGAGCTCGAAATCGGCGCCCGGAATAATAATGGCTACCGGTATAATTGGAAACAGTTTGAAAGGTCACCCTGCGCTCTACGTCTCAAGAGACGCAGGTCTCACGTGGAAACAGGTGTTGAAGGACTACTATTTCTTCAACATGGGCGATCACGGAGGTCTATTAGTCGCAGTAAAATATTTCAAGATGCGCGGAGAGACAAGAGATATTTCGTATTCATTAGACGAGGGTGAGAGCTGGCTAACTTACGAGTTCAACAAGAAGATGTTACGAGTGTACGGCCTCATGACGGAGCCTGGAGAAAACACCACGGTGTTCACCATGTTTGGATCAGATTTTGGGCAGCATCAGTGGCTGATAATCAAGGTCGATTTGCGGAAAGTATTCTCGAGAGACTGCAGAGAGGACGATTACAAGTTTTGGTCCCCCACGAGCGTCGATCCCCATCAGCCAGTTATGGCCTGCGTGTTGGGACGCAAGGAAACTTATCAGAGACGCGCATTACATACCAATTGCTACCAGGGCGTGAATTATGATCGACCGGTGCGATTACAGACCTGTCAGTGCGACGCAATCGATTATGAGTGCGACTACGGTTTCAAGCGCGTCGGAAATCCATATCACTGCATCCGCAATACAAGCACCGATTACGATCCTTACGCCGTGCCGAGCACGTGCGTGCCCGGCGCATTTTATAATCGCACGAAAGGCTACGCGAAGATATCGGATGACGAATGTTCCGGTGGCTTCGCGAGAAACTTCGAACCCGACGAGATACCGTGCCCGATGGACCAGAAACCGGAATTCCTACTGGTCGCCCAGCGGGAGCATATAACGCGAATCGACCTGGGGGAGAACAAAATACAGATGTTGCCCGTGCACGATCTGAAGAACGTGATCGCAATCGAGTTCGATATGAGGAATAACTGCCTGTACTGGGCGGATATTGTGAACGATACGATTGGCAGACAGTGCCTGAATGGCACCAATCCTCCCGAGGTTCTCGTCGAGAACGATTTAAGTTCCATCGAGGGAATGGCCTACGATTGGGTGTCCAAAGTGCTCTATTTCGTGGACGGTGTCAAAATGAGGATACAAATAGTTCGAACGGATATATCCAACATAGGGAGAATGCGTAGAACCATATTAGGTCCGAACGTGTTACAGAAGCCGAGAGGTATCGCGGTTCATCCCATGAACGGATATATATTCTGGACCGACTGGTCGCCGGGAAACGCCTCGGTATCTCGCGCCAATCTGGACGGCACGAACGTCAAGCGATTGTTCATCAAACCCACTGTCGAATGGCCGAACGGAATAACGATCGACCACATCGCCGAGCGTATCTACTGGGTGGACGCGCGTGCGGATTACATTGCCTCCTCGGACTTAGACGGTAAGAGATTCAGGAAGATCATCGCCAACGACGCGCGCGTGTCCCATCCGTTCGCAGTCGCTGTGTTGAAGGACAACATGTACTGGGACGATTGGAAACAATCCATGATATTCGTCGCCAACAAGGACCACGGTGTCGGGATCACCACAGTGATCGGCTTCCAGATTATAGGTCTGATGGACTTGAAGATCTTCGCGCATAGCGTGCAAACCGGCTCGAACCAGTGCGCGACCAATAACACGTGCTCACACATCTGTCTAGGTGCCCCGGGCAACAGCTACGTGTGCCTCTGCCCGGACGGCATGGTGATGACGAATGGCAACTGTCTCTGTCCAGGTGAGGTCCAACCCTTCGCCAATTCGACCTGCCCGCGCATCGCCAATACCTGCTCGTCGAACCAGTTTGCCTGCAACAACGGCGTGTGCATCCCCGAGTTCTGGAAATGTGACAACGATAATGATTGCGGCGACAACTCGGACGAGGTCAACTGCAACCGTGCCACGTGCAGCCCCAACAACTTCGAGTGCGACGGCAGCAAGTGTATACCCAAGTACTGGGTATGCGACATGGATCGCGACTGTAAGGACGGGAAGGACGAGATGAACTGCACCTACGCCAATTGCACGGACCAGAACCGCTTCAAGTGCGACAGCGGTCGCTGCATCTCGCACCGATGGCGCTGCGACGGCGAGGACGACTGTCGGGATGGCTCGGACGAACGAAATTGCACCAGGCACTTCTTGCCGAGCACCTGCCGTTCCGACGAGATCTTTTGTAAGGATCACACTTGCATACCGGCTTCCTGGAAGTGCGACGGCGAGCCGGACTGCGAGGACAACGCGGACGAGGCGGGATGCAACAACATGGTGTGCGAGCCGTGGCAGTTCACGTGCAACAACACCAACGATACCGGGCATCGGTGCATATACAAGTCCTGGGCTTGCGACGGCGACAAGGATTGCGTAGACGGTTCCGACGAGGTGAACTGCACCAGCACCACCTTGCCGCCGTCATTCATGCCGCCGATTTTACCCACGAATTCCTGCAACGACTGGATGTTCCTCTGCCAGAACAAGAAATGCGTCCCGTACTGGTGGAAATGCGACAGCGTGGACGACTGCGGCGACAATTCTGATGAGATTGGCTGCAGCAGCGAGGACGGAAGTATCATAGAACCTACATTACTGCCGATTCACACGACCGAGCAGTCTCGCGTCTGTCGCGAGCACCAGTTCCAGTGCTACAACGGCGATTGCATCGAAAACGCATGGGTATGCGACGGCTCCAGCGACTGTTCATCCGGCGAGGACGAGCATCACTGCGACCAGACGCACGCGTCCTGCCGCGAGAACGATCAGTTTATGTGCCGGCTGGACGGCTCGTGCGTACCTCTATCTCACATCTGCAACGGCATCGAGGAGTGCCCGGACGGCAGCGACGAGCTCGGCTGTCATATCGATCACGACACGAGTCCACCGGCCACTCCATCCTGCTTCGTCGGCCTATTCCCGTGTGACGAGACCCGCTGTTTCCCGCTCGCGTCCTACTGCGACGGCAACCAGGACTGTTTCGACGGCTTCGACGAGAACAACTGCGAGAAGAACGGCACTCGCATGTACCAGGTTCTGGTGATGGGTGTGGACGAGCGTTCCATCAACGACAGCAGCCTCTTCCTCTTCTGGTGGATGCCGATACCGTCAAACGTCACGTTCGAGTTTCTACCTTCGATCGCACGGACGACCCCAGGCGCTAAGTGGACCAACGTCAGCAACTGGATCGAAGACACCGAGTATCAATTCAACAATCTTGATCCGTACACCAAGTACAATTTGACGGTCTACGTCAAAGTGAAGGGTCAGAACACTGTGTTCCCACCAGCCAAGTATCTAGTCGTCACCACTGGTGAAGGAGTGCCATCCGAGCCCTGGAACGTGACGGTCACCCAGAAGAACGGCACCCGCGTGGAGGTCTCCTGGAAAGCACCCCAACATCCAAACGGTCTCATCATCGGCTATCAAGGTTACATCACCCCGCCTATACCGCCGATGGAGTTCTCGCGACAGAAGACTTCCGCGATCATCGACATGGCCTTCGAGGCGGGGAAGAATTATTCCTTCTGGATCGTAGCGAAAAATCGACAGTACGAATCCATCTCGTCCAAGGTCGCCCTGTTGACCTTCGACGGCTCGGCCAACATCGACGATATCGAGGATCTCCGCGTGGTGGCGACGACGAATCACTCCGTCACGCTGACGTGGAAGAAGATGAAGGACGTGGATGGGTACCACGTTACGCCCAGAGCGCCACCGGCTTATCCGACCCTGCAAACCGTTTCGACCATGAACAATTTGTTCGAGGTGACCAAATTGGCACCGGGAGTCAAGTATACCTTCGAGGTCGGCGCGATGAAGAAGAAATACGTCGGCAAGGTCGCCATGGTGACGGCCACGACGAACGGCACCACGTTGCCGATAATAACCAAGTTCGACGCGCAACTAGTCAAGTCTCAAAGAACGACTGTGAAACTTACTTGGGACCCGCCGAAGAGCACCAAGAAGATTAAGTTGCAATATGCCATCCATTATGCTACCAATATAGTCGATTTCTTTAGAGGTAAGGAGAAAATCAGCGATTTTCTTTATACGGAAATATTGTTTCTTTTGTGTTTTTTTTAATGTTATTAATTGATTCGAATTATTGTCTTTTTTATTTTATATTAAAAAGAATGATATTTAAAAACAAAATAATGTAACGTTTCTTTGTTTAAGCTCGAATAATATTTTTTGACAGAAATCAGCTGTTAACTGTCAAAAATTAATTAGCAAGTTAATGCTTTTTAATCAGCTGATTTCTGTCAAAAAGCATTAATAAAGCACAATCTGGTTAATTAAATTTTAAACTAATGACATGTTACAAAAATTAAAACAGTAATACGTGGTAAACAATATTTTATAATACCTTATTTTTGATTATTTTTTTTTTGACAGAAATCAGCTGATAATTGTCAAAAAAGTATTAACCGAATTTAAAGTATTCAAATATATAAGTTAAAACATTATCATTTCATTTAATTTTATTTTGAAGAAACTCAAATTGTTAACTCTCTCGATGTGTGCTACGATTATAACGTATTTGTATTTATTTTTAGCATTCAAGGTGAAGACTAGTAATCTCACGGCTACGATCAAAGACTTGGAAGCGTGCGAATCGTACTTCTTCGCCGTCGGTGTTATCGGGGATTACGGAGCGGGGCCTTTATGTCAACCGATTACGGTTCCAACATACTTCAATAAACGTGCATCCCCGAAGAGATTGCGAGTTACACCATCGCCGGACAAGAATGACAGTATAATCGTCTCGTGGAGCGCTAGTTGTCCCACGATCGATGAGCCGATTAGCTATACGGTAAGTCAATATTATTTGCAAAATATTTTTTCAAGAAAAAATATAAATATATTCTTATATATATATAACATTATTTTTCTTTTTTTATAGATATCTGTTACAGAAACTATTCTCAACAAGCAGACGGTTGCGACGTTGCCGCCGACCAACGAAACCATCATGAAACATATCTTCCATCCGATCAAGTACGGCGGACAATACAATATTACGGTGGCCACTGATGTCGAGAACGCCATATCCACTCAACCCTTTGTTTACATGGCACCGCCGATTAAACCACCCCATCAGCTTACCGTCTTGCACGACAACAAAGATTATCAGATATATTGGCAAGAGCCGGATATGCCGAAGGACGTTAATTGGCATATCGAGATTTTCATAACCGAAGGCTCGACTAAGATAAACGAGTCTACGGCTAAAATCATCTCGACTAAGGGTCCGCCGTATCATTACAAGGAAGCTAAAACGGGGACGATTTACACCTTCGCCGCACGTCTGGTCACGGAAGACGGATATCAGAGTCCACTTAGTGAAACGTGGAGCACACAATTTTCAGGCAAGTCTCGAATATTTTCTCTCTCGCGAGAAGCAACTCGCTGATGATACTTTATTAACATAATAAACTTTTTTTTTATTCAACAGCTTCGCAACTCCCGGTGATAATGAACACGTCGAACATATTGTCTCTTGCTATACCGATCTGCTTGGTCGTCCTAGCGCTGGGTGGAGCACTAGCCTATTTTATCGTTCGACATAGAAGACTGTCTAACAGTTTTACGCAATTCGCTAACAGTCACTACGACACGAGACGGGGACAGGCTACTTTCCCGGGCACGACAGACGGCTTAGGTGAGTGTTATTTTGCATCTGAAAAGTAGAGGAAAATGATGCGAAATGGGAAAGAAGGAACTAATGATTGCTTTTTGTAGAAGAAGAAGACAGCCCTGTGATTCGAGGCTTTTCAGATGATGAACCTTTGGTAATCGCATGAACACCGCATGTATAAACGGAATATTTACATCTTAGGAAGGAAAAGATGTGCCAAGACATTATTCATATGATAATTTTTAATATATATATATATATATATATATATATATATATATATATACACATATATATATAAATATATATACATATATATATATATATATATATATATATATATATATATATATATATATATATATATATATATATATAATTTTTATGATGAATGAAGAAAGGAGAGAGAGAAAAAAGCTTTTATAAATGTGTCTCGTAACTGGGTAGACATTGTTAACTGTAATGTTACTTGCCATTACAGTTAACGATTGATATAGGTGAACAGGCTATACGCTTAAGACGTTTACATAAGAGCTTTTTGCGCCATTTATATACGATACGTTGTAGAAATATGGGATGTACATATGTACATCACAAACGATCATGATAAAAACTACCTGCCGTGTAGTTAGAGAGAGAGAGAGAGAGAGAGAGAAAGAGGCCGTTGCATCTTAAATTCGAATGTAAACAACAAATCGAGACAGCTGCAGTTTGAAAATGAATGTTTACCTGCGTCTAACAAGAGAAATAGATGCCAGTTGAAGAAACGGCAATTTGTATATATAGTAAATATTTTTTATGGGTCGCGAGATTGAGATTTTTCGATATGTCACACATTTATCGAGAAGCATTTTTGAAATAATTGTATTTGTATTGTACAATAACTTGTATGTGTGAAGAAACTTTCTTTTTCAAATCTCCGCATACAGATTTGTTGATGCGAGAGTGAAAGTTTCCGAAGACATTACGGAAACTTTTTTCTTATCGAATTTTTTTTGACAAATCTACAGATGCCATAAGTTCTTTCCATATCAAGTGCATGACCAAAGTAACGCTTTCTTCTATGCCGCATTCGAAGGATGTATCGACTCTCTTCGTTTATCAACGAGTATATTTCTATAACATTTCGTCTAATCAAGAGTTCCTCGGCTTGAGTAAAACCCAGCTCGAGCAAATCATTTTAATCGTCGCAATTCCAATTATCTGTCAAGCCAGATGCGGCATTGAAAGAAGTTTTTATAAGCGAGTTTCTTGTCTCGCGAGAAAGAGGTGACCTGACCTCCTCTTCTAGAGGTGTGCTGCAATCATTATCGCAAGGGAATATAAATATTATGTGTAATTCGAATATTCTATATAATTGTGCATTATTCTGTAATAAATGCGAATGTTGAAAAATTAGGGACGCGAATGAGTGTAATTGAATATAATGTTAAGAAAAATTTGTTTTAATCAAAATGATATTGAATATTATGTTTTTTGTGCGAATAAAATAGTTTACATTTTTTTAAATTTTTATATTATAAGAGTGACACCATTTTACCAAGATTGGATAGTTTTAGTTTGGTTTAAGAGAGACTTTAAATATAAGGACAAATCTCAATTTCGCACTTTACACCAAGTGCGAATGAAGCGATATGCCGCGTCAAGATTTTTAGATTAATTTTCTTAGACAATTCAAGACAAAAACGACAAAGAAAAGAAAAGAAAACACAAGGAAAAATAATTCTTCAAGTTTTTTTAATGCTCTATTTCGCTACAATTTTGAAAAACTTGAACTAAGTTGTAAAAAGAGCATTCCATATTTTTGTATTTTTTAGCATAAAAAAAGGTGCAATGATTATCTTGATTCTTGTGTTTAAAAAGAAAATTATTCTGCATTGAACTATATTACCATAAATAATATTCAAATGTATTTTAATTTTTATTTAATCTATGTATACTAAATCAGTTCGTATAAGTCATTAATGATTTTAATCTTGCCATCAAGTCGATAAAACCTTTGTACATCCCCTTTTGTTGTATATGAAATAACATACAGTAAAATTAATAATATATATAATTAATTAATATATATATAATATATATATAATATATATTAATAAAAAGATATAATTGTGTAATATATATAAAATATAATATATTAAATAATTGTATATATTATAATAATATATTATAATCTATATAATTCTATCTCTGTATCTTCTATCTATGTATTTTCTCTCTCTCTCTATGTATCTCTCTGTATATATCTATCTCCTTCCTATATATAATAAATTAATACTATACAATTAATATAATCGTTCAATCACAATGAACGATTATATTTTTTCGCGGAATCTAATGGAAGAGTTTAGAAATGAACTTGACTATTATCTTCAATTAATCGTCGTCGTTTTTTGTTTCTCTTTTCGCAAATGGAAAAAAAGTGTACGACATTACAAGTTCCTAAAAATGTTGACGAGCCGAGTTCGGTCGATTTATACGAATCGAAAAAAACACGTGAGAAGCAAATTAAACGAAGTTAAAATCGGCAAAGCAACATTTCACAAGATTTTGCTGCTTTGTGTCATTATTGGATAAAATTAATTTAAATTGCGAAAGAATAAACAAATTACAAACGTACTTTGGTGCATTTAAATTACTGACCAGTTTAAAATATTTTTTTAGACTGTTTTGTTCTTTTTATTTAACGATGGAAAAAATGTAAAAGAAAAGTTTTATGCACGAGACGACGTTGGATCGACAAAAGGACGATTTCTAAACAGTATTAAACTAGGTTCTCGGTTCGTTTTCGATGTCAGAAAATTACCACACCTCGTGAACAGAATTAATTAATTATAAAAAAAAAGAACAATTTTGCTGACAATTTGACGTGATTTACTCGCTCGGTCGTTACATGTGTCCGTATCAGAGAGAAAAAAATAACGATGTGGATTTCGATGTTTTTAAATCTAGCGAGAGCGATAATTAGCAGATAATAGCTGATGTAAATGTCAAGGGTTATAGCGACAAGAAAGACAGTGATATATAATATAAAAAAATATATATATATAATATATTTACGTGTAAATAAAATAAATCTAAGGCACAGAATATATTAAGTAATTTTTTTATGCTTTCTCTTATCAATTTACTTTGACACCTCAGTATTTCCCGAATACTCACACCGGCTTTTTTTACTAATAATTTTCTCATCGATATAACCTGCTGACTATATATATATCTGTGTATTATATTTTACCATATAATACAATATATATTATATTTTTCCAAAGAACCTTTTTTGAGAGCCATATATTTATTCATTTATAGAGCCATTTATTATGAATATTATTTTTCAGAAAAATATTTCCTATTTTTTATCAAAAATTATTGATCTTACAAATATTAAATAATGAAAAATGGACTCTAATTTTTTTCTTTGTTATATATTAATGTACACATATAAAAAAAAACAGCTTTTACTCAGGCATTTTTATCATCCTATCGCGAGTTCATGACGTAGCGGATGTTCCGGGCTACGGTTTAATCTCGAAAAAATGGAACGATAAAAATAAATTTTACGAATTCACGACAAGTCTCTTTCGCGCAAGAAGAGATGAAAGACTTCCGTTACCGTTCTGAGAGGCAATTTGGAAGTTTGTGACCCGTAACATCATTAAGCAAACGGCATAGTACCGGAAATTCAGCACCATGTCTTTTTCACACTTTAATCCCTTTGTCGGATTGCAAATGCGGACAAATTTCTTGAACTTCTTATCATGCGCGAATTCCCCATTTCGACGACTAAAGCGTTCAATCATTAGAATCATAATACTAAATTAATTGTAAAACAGATTTGCGAAATTATGGTACTATAATGTTTAATCATTTTTAAAGGGAAAAAAATTATACATAATTTTTGTAAAAATCTTACGATTTCTCCTATATTTTTTTACGTCTATTTCTTTATTAAATAATATAATGTATTAGAGTTACTCTTTATGTGTTTTTTCCGATTAAGAATGCATGCTTTTTAAAATCTTGCGTATAAGAAATAGCGATGTTTTAGATTGCACAAAATTAAGCAGAAATTTAAAGACCAATTAATACTTCAGCACCAGAAGTTATCTATAACATTTACCTTTCGCGCGCAATTCACTTTTATTAATATATTCCGTAGTCTACTTTGGCCTTCGTATATTCTACTATATAATTTCATATGTGCATCGTATTTTATCGTCGACTAATATAGCCTCGGATTATTCTGAAAATACATGGAGAACTATAAAATATTATATAAATATAGGTTTAGAACTTTATGATCTCAAAGCCAAGATCATATATAATTATGACTATTTTTATTACAAGCATAGAATTATTGATACAATTTTAAAACCTGAAAGAAATCATAATGTGTAATTTCACATTTCGTAGCTCTAATTTTCTTAGTATTATTAGTATCATTTTCTAAGTATTATTATATAGGTAGTCTTATTTTTTATAGTATTATTTTATTCTCATTTTCTAAGTTATAATATTTTAAACAATATTCGCTAATACGTATATTAATTTTTTGTCAAAAATCGGAGTAAAATGAAGTGTTAAAGTGACATTTAATAATGCATTTTTTTTTTAATGTGGAACATTTTTTTTAAATGTATAAAAAATTATTTTTCACATTTTTTTATTATTAGATATTTGATCCGAGTTCCAAATTCTATCATATGATCATTTTGAAAAATTCGGAAATCAAAATTGTATCGAAAAAAACTATTGATTTCAAATATAAATATTTATTTAAATAGTACCATTTATATCTTTTGTCTGAAACAAATAAATATTAATCTGTTCCGAAAAAGGATTTCTTATATCAAATAAGCATTTTTTCACGGCAAATCAATAATATTGTAGTTTCAAACAAATGGTGTAAATGGTACTATTTAAATAAATATTTATTTGAAATCAATAGTTCTTTTTCAGTGTACTTAGCATAAAAAATTTTAGAAAAATGATCATGCTCTTTCTTGTGTTCGAGAAAAAATTTTTCTTTCTTGAAATTAATTAATTTATAGTATAAATTACGAAAATTACACGTTGCATACAAATCATCACACAATAATACCGCAGAATAAACATTTTCGCGTATCCTCTTGCGATCAACATGGAAACTTGCTGCTTCGCATCCTGAATAATTAATTTCCGTAATTAATAATATGCGGTGCAATAATTATATATAAAATGGATCGATTATATATTCCGAGAAAAATAAATAAAATAATTTTTTCTCG